AAATTACAAAAGTACGAGTTAGCGAAAATATGTAATTGATAAGGAGCATTAAATTGAAATTAACATTATGAATATACCTAGTATATGCGTGTGGACGACAGGCAAATTTATGTATATTTGAGAACATTTTATTTTTTTAGTTAAGCTCATTGGTCAATTAATTCATACCTTAATTTTCACTAAGTAACTGTTTTCAATTGGGTCCCTGGCCTTGTAAATAGGCGCCAGAGAAGCAGCACTGGCTACGGCAACGAGTAGAGATATGATGAGTACACGCATGGTGAAGTCTGGGATAAATAAATACATTTTATATCATTATTGATTAAATCATTATGTTTTGTGCTTAAAAGTAGCTACATAACAATACCAACTCTGCACATTTCAGCTATAAGCAAAAGTACTACAAGTATGTAATAGCGGTCAATTCAGTTGTACTTACCTGTTCAATTGGTTCGAATTGAATGAAAAACTCAACGATACTTCCCGCTTTTATGTGCTTCACCAACCATGTTTTTGGTTAATCATTATCTTGTTTATCCGGTAAAGATTGCCTTTGATAACATATAGATAATGTGCCAAATTTTTGTGTTTATGAATGTGTAGATGAGTGTCTTGATATCGGCGATAATTCATCAATTTTCACTGAGAATAATTGGAAATATGGTTTAATATATTTTTATTATTATTATTATTATTATTATCATTTATATGTCACTGTGTATTTGTTATATAGAATGTACGTGGATGTGAGTATGACATTCAAATCTCGTATCTCTGGCACATATGTTCAATTCCCAAGTTTATCACGAACCCAATTTTTCGGTCACATTCCCTTTGAACTTGCCCATTCTGTGTACCCTGCAGGGTAAAAGTTCATACTGTCAATACGAGACATTGTACACCAAACTATTCGTCAAATACATGTTTTGTATTGGACAAGAAATGTATTGACCCAATGCAGTACACAATAAAGTATGTTAAGTAGAATTTCCCTAAATTCTTGATACAAAATGTATCCAAGTTCTAAGCTGTTAACAAAAGTGATGTTTTCTACACATTTGTATTACGGAATACTTACAATGATCAATAATAGGGACAACAAATCTGGATTTAAAATCAATAAGCACGCATGTACTCAAATTAGAATGCCATGCAGTACGAAGGTCCCATCGAAAGGAGAGCAACGTAACTGTATTCGAATTAATGGGCCGATGTGCCGATTATCATGATTATGATGGAAATTCTCTCGCAACATAGTACTCTATTGATACTGTATATTTGCCATAAAGGGGGATCAGGTAGCAAAAACAATGTTCCAATATATAATATCCCATCAAATGCCATAGTTTTTGATGAGTGTAATACTATATTATAATTTACGTTTAATCTATTTGTGGGAAAAATGTCTATGACGGGGTTTATATTCATGATATGATGCACATTGCAAATTGCGACTCATGGCAGCGCTGCTTTACTTGAATTAAGTGTTCCATAGATCAAATAAAGGATTATCGTCGTATCGTGAGGACAGTATTTAAAATGTGGGTGACTAACGACAAACCGCGTGCAGGACACATGTCAAATTTGAGTTATGAGAGTTTGTGTAAAAATAACGAAGACCATGGCAAATACAATTTTTTTGTGCGGCTGCTGTAAACAATGAATTCTCTTTCCAAAGTAATGCTGGAGGCTCTAATAGTTATTCACTGACTGGCTGATAGTGGATCATTTGAATTTGGAAGGGAATTATTAGTACAGGTAGACTGTAATTTTATGACTTTGGGGAACATTTGAGAAATCAAACACAATAAATTTAATAATTCCTGTAACAGAGTTCGCAATGTATAAAATACTAAAATTGTGTAATTTGTGAAAAGTAGTTATTAAAGTAGTAGTTACTATATCTTATATATTATCCCTGTACAATAAAAAGACGCAGCTATTGGGTTTTGGAAAATGCCCAATCAGATGGGACGCAAAGCTGTTGGTCAGTGTATCAAAGCAATAAGTAACGGATATTCCGCAGAGTAAATTGAATCTTCTCTGGACGCTGAAAAAGAAAAAAAAATGATTACAAAAAAAGAAACAAAAATATAAACGAACAATGTTTCAATATTCTATAATTTTAGAAATTTTGGGTCACATTCTATCTTGACCAAAAGCCCACGAGTAACATTGTACTGAATAATCATGGAGCAAACATAAAGACACTAAACAATAATCATACATTTTGAGATCATACATGACTTTCATCATTCAAAGTTATTATTGTAAAATGTATTTTAACAATCTTTTATGGTGGGATTAGTACATTTAATCGTAAATACTGAATTGCCTACTCTGTAAACCACGAGGTTACTGTATATTTCTCATGACTAATTTACTGTATCGACATGACCTTTATGTGGCCTTGTAGTATTTACTTTTAAACAAGTTCAATTCTGGAACACCTGTGATTCTACCCATGCTTTCGATGTTTTCACAGAGCAAATAGGGTATAGTTCACAATAGTTCGTATAGCAGGGCAAGCTCACTGATGCGAATCCGATTGAAATAATCAAGAAATATTGTTAAAACTGTATTCAGGATACCCAGAGTTTTATAAGTATGTTCATTCTGTAACGATGTTGTGTGGAAAGGTTTGCTGCTGAATACATGGCCAGTTTGCGTTTTGAAGTCAAACAATTTTGAGATTAAAAATGACCTCGATCAGATATGCGCCTAGTTAATATTACACACTAAACATATAGTTAAATACATAAAAGCGGAACTCAGCACTAGAACATGCATTCGAATTGGAACATTTGAATTAGTGAGTATGTTTTTTTCTTGTGAAATAGTTAATCATTTGATGTAAAATATCCATGTGAGATATATTGACCGAGAGTTTGTTCTTATTCCAGACTCAACCAACGATGCGTGTATTCATCTTAGCTCTTTTTGTCGCCGCAGCAAGTGCTGCATCATTGGCTCCCGTCTTCAGGGCTAATGACGCCGTTCAAAACAGTTACCTGGTAAAGATCAAGGTGAGGTTTATTCATAATTTGTGTGATATGTTTGAATGAATTTCGCAAACGTTCAAAACACACCACAATCCATTAGTTTTCACCACCACCATTTCAGCAAGAATATTAAAGATACTTATTTAAATTTTATAAATGCACTACCCATACGAATTCCCATATTGTTTAATGTAGGAAGGACATAATGTCGACCTGTTTGCCAAACAACTACCAGCGCTTAAAATCTCAATTACTAAACGTTATAAGTCCTTCCACGGTATCGCAATAAATGCCCAAGCTAAAGCTATCAGTATGGTGAGTATAAGACTCTTTTTTTATATCAAATAGTCTTTAATATGAAATCAGGAAACTACATTATGCGAGGATTATTGTTTATATCAAACATGATTACAATCCTTTCGAATATATCCAGTGCGCGGAAAATATACAATTCATTTAATGTGAATTCATACTTTCAGCTTCAACGCATGCCCGAGGTAGAATACATTGAACAAGACGGTATATATAAATCATCGGTTGAGTGGGGTTGCGACCGTATTGATCAGAGAGATCTACCCTTAGATGACGCAATGACACTGTATGGTAAGTGTTGCGTGAGTAACGGGTAAAGTACCAGTAAAAATTATTACATTCATTCTAACAACTCGTACATGAGACGTCATCAGCGAGTCGACTCATATGTTGAAAGACTGCATCATTGATTTGTGTGTGTAACTTGACAGGTGATGGCAGCGGAGCACATATTTACATCATAGACAGCGGTCTGCGTCATACACATCAAGAATACGAAGGGCGTGCCTCTTACTTTTACGACTACGAACCTAGTAACCAGGTATGTAAGGATACTATGATGGTAAACTGAAATAAATTCAATGCATCTTGAATTATTGATGGTAGTAAAGATTTCAAAATGATTATTCCTCGGCATTGATTACTTTTTTTGTTAGGGTGAAGATTGTAATGGTCACGGTACTCATTGTGGGGGTACCGCTGCAGGAGTGTCTGTTGGAATTGCAACATCCGCCAGTCTTTACAGCGTTCGTGTTTTGAGTTGTATTGGCATTGGTTTGACCACAAATATTGTGGCAGGTTCGTAACAGTATTGACTTCTTATGATGAGGTCATCGCAAGTTTATCATTTTCACAACCTATTGTGAAGCTTTCATTTTAATCAGTTTTACAATTTCAATAATATATAACATGGACGTATACGGGTCAATTAAAGTGCGGTTCTCGTCGCGCTGCGCATGTGTGAGATGTATGGGTCTCATATAAACAAAGATGACGACTTTG